CCCCCCGTGGTCCTGACATCCTTGCTCGTGTTCTCCCTCCATCTGCTCCTCATTGGGACCTTGGGAGCTCAGTCCAGTGCTCCAGTGTGGGTCTCTGTCTCTATCTCCATCCATCACCAGATGAAGGTTCTATGGTGATATGAAAGATATTCGTCAGTATTGCTATGGGATAGGGTCATTTCAGTTTCCCTATCCTCAGCTTCCCAAGGGACTAACTGGGGACATCAATTTAATGTTTATTTCTCTTTGGCTATTCAGCCGCCTTCTAAGAAAGTGAGAAATGAGAGAAAAGGAATGAATCCCATGAAGCTTTTATTCAACAAGGTCGATGAGGTCCGGGATGTAATTGGAATAAGATAAGGTAAATTATGACCCGCGGATACATTTTTACCTTAAGCATGCTCCCAGGATGGAGAGTCACATACAGCTGGGCATACCTAGAAGTCCATTGCTCCTGGAGCAGAAGCACAGTGAGGGCTCAGGAGACCCCTGGGGGAGCCATCCATGGTCAGGCCAGGCAGTATAGCGTGGCTCCTGGGGACTGTGAGGATTCGCTCTGCTGATCTCTCTAAGCTATGAAAGGCTCAGCAAGGTTTCTGTCGAGGAGACATCTGCTGGAACTCAGAAAAGGATGCCCCATAGGAAGCGCCTCTGCTGATCTCACAACATCCTGTTTCCAACCCCATTCTTCTCAGAGACAAGCCCAAAGGATCAGAATTTCTCTTCTAAAAGTGGGCCGCAGAAACTAGAACCCTTGTTAAATGCTAAGGGCCAAGCCCATCCAATATTCTTATTTCCCTAGCTTTGCCTATAAGTGTTGGCCATAAAAAGAAATTCTTTGGCCTACCTTGCCTGAACCTAGGTCATAGGACCTACATTACAGAAAGGATCTTGCCCCACAATATAGGTTTAAGAAAGCCCTTCAGAGAAATAGTTTATTCCTCCAATTCCAAACAAGCTTTACACCTGAGAAAACCAGGAATGGTTAAAGAACACATTCTTTTTCATTACATCTAAAAAGAACGACTTTTAACTTTTTTGAGACAGGGTCTCACATAGCCCATGCTGGCCTTTGCTATGTAGCCAAGGCTGTCCTTGAGTTTCTGATCCCCCTGCCTCCACCTCCTGAGTTCCGGGATTAGAGTATGTACCATTATGGTACCTGGCCTTTGGGGTGGGGAGCCATCCTTTTTAAAATCTTATTTTGTGAGACTGGGGAAGAGAACTGCATAATAGGGGAAGTGTCTTTGTAGATCTGCAGTCCAGGCTTTGAACTCCCTTTCCTTCAGAGTTGGGGCAACACCTGTCCATTCTGAGAGGGGCAAGATCCTTCCTACGCCAGGAAGATGAACCTGGTCACCCAGTCAGGGTGCCTTTATCAAACAAAAACGTGGAAAATCTGCAAAGAGAAGTGACTGAGTGACCAATGGCCACACAATGACCCTTGTGACCCGATGCCAAGACACCAGCTCAGAAATGTATAAATCGCCCCATCTCTAGTGAAGTTGCTACAAGCCAGGGCATTTCAACCCGGGCTTCAGAATTAACCCAGGGGATTGTTGAAGTTCCATCCCCAGAATTTCCAATCCAGCAGGTTCAGTAGGTTGAGGGTGAACTTGAGAATACATTTCTGTGAAGTTCCTAAGGAAGGGGGATGCCGTTGGTCCAGCAGCATTCTGGACGGCCCAGGATGTTGCAGGTCCAAGAGACTTTCACAGTCACTGCTGTAGACTGTATGGGGAGCCAGAGAACAGCCTACTGGGGCAGAGAAGGTGGTTCTCTCTGTCTCTGTCTCTGTCTCTCTGTCTCTCTGTTTCTGTCTCTGTCTCTCTGTCTCTCTCTCTGTGTCTCTCTCTCTCTGTGTCTCTCTCTGTCTCTGTCTCTCTCTGTCTCTGTCTCTCTCTCTCTTTTTCTTCCGAGACCAGTTTTCTCTGTGTAATTGGAACTCCTTCTGTAGACTAGGCTGACCTCGAACTCACAGAGATACACCTGCCTCTTTGTTTGTTTTTGTTTTTGCTTGTTTTGTTTGGTTTTTCAAGGCAAGGTTTCTCTGTGTAGCTTTAACTGTCTTGGAACTTGCTCTGTAGACTAGGCTGGTCTCAAACTCACGGAGATCTGCCTGCCTCTGCCTTCCGAGTGCTGGGATTGAAGGTGTGCGCCACCACCGCCCAGTGCAGGTGGTTATTTGAAACATGGTGAAACCTGTGAAGCACATTTAAGGCCAAGGGACTGAGGAGTAAGGGCCTCCTTTTTTAAGTTGCTCTGCTTGGAAGCAGACCCTGGGAAGACAAAGAATCCATCAGACCTGAGTGAGACCTGTCTTAGCCTGTTGTGGGTGGTAGTCTGAGCAGCTGACCCTAACCTCTGATTCAGACACACTAGACAGGAAAAGAATTAGGAACCTCTGGGTGTAGTGGCCCATGACATTAGTCCCAGCACTCAGGAGTAGAAGAGGCAGATCTCTGTGAGTTCAAGGCCAGTTTGATCGATAGAGTGAGTTCCAGGACAGCTAGGGTCATATATAGAGATCCAGTCCCCAAACCAACCAACCAACCAACCAAACAAACAAACAATAGAAGTTGAAACATAGAGGAATGTGTGACAGTCCAGATATGAAGGTCAGCTTGACACATACTCAAATTGCTAGCAGCTCAAATTTTTTATTTATGAATTTATTATGTATATAATATTCTGTCTGTGTGTGTGTGCAGGCCAGAAGAGGGCACCAGACCTCATTACAGATGGTTGTAAGCCACCATGTGGCTGCCGGGAATTGAACTCAGGACCTTTGGAAGAGCACGCAATGTTCTTAACCACTGAGCCATCGCTCCAGCCTGCAGCTCAATTTTTTTTAAAAATTATTGACCCAATAATGATTGTATCTAAAGCTCTTAAGAATAAGACAATTTAAAAAAAGAATAAGATAGTTATGTCCAGAAGCAACCTTTTAAGGAGAACTAAATCAAATGGACTTGGTGTTTAGTAGTGAACGTGAGCACATATGCAGTGTGTTTACTAGTGAATGTGAGCACATGCAGTGTGTTTACTAGTGAACGTGAGCACATGCAGTGTGTTTACTAGTGAACGTGAACATATATGCAGTGTATTTGAAGAGCGACGGGGAATATTAGGAAGAAAATTAGGAAAACCTCCCAATTTTCTATCCAGTTGGAAAACAACAAACAAACAAACAAACAAATAAATAAATGAATATCCCTTTTTGAATGACCAGGGGTGAAGTAATCGGAAAGAATCAGATGGATTAAGAGACTGGACAAGGGATGAAAGGACCACAGGGTGCAGAGCTGGCTGGAGAAGTGGGGCTCAAACCTGGGGTTTTATGATATATGTCCATAGATGCCACTCTTTACCCCTTAAGTCAGCCCACAGAAACTTTCTCTTTCTTTCTCAAAAAAGACTTTCTCTTCTTTGAGGTGGATTGTAGGAACATTGCAGAATATTTGTTTAACTATGTGAAGATGTGTTGTGTTCGTTTTTGTTGTGGAATTAGTTTAACTATGTAAAGATGTTTTATATATCAACTACATGATTAAACATTTTACATATTATAGGTGAAAAACAAATTATCTCCAAGAACCCACATATATTCAACTCCAAGTAGCTTGTTATAGATTAACAGAGTGTAAACAAGCAAGGCATTTTTCTCGGTCCATTCGTACTAGCAGGCTGCATTTTATGGTTACAAAGAAAGGAGCAATGATTTTATTATTTTTCTCAAAAGATAATCTGATAAAAATATCTTAAAAGAATCACAAATCTAAACTTTTATATATGAAAAGCAGTCAGTTCTATTTTAAAACCTTAGGGTGTGTGCCCACTCATTGACAGTTTTTTTTTTAATATCAGAAAGATGGGGGCAGAAATGGGCACAAGGAAATAATTATCATCTTTGGTCACCAACTCATCCTAGCAAGAAAGGCAGCCAGGCAGAAATTGTTAGGTTGCCATTGTTCTTGTGCCCTGACCGCAACAAGTCCCTTGCTCCACTACTAAAGTGTCTTTCTAAACTTTAAATTGTTCCCCAAGATTTTCTGTACCAAGGTCATTAATAAAAACACCTTAACCTAAACTTACTAACAACTCTACATGTCTGAATTCTTTCTAAGGGTGGTGGTTGAATCATTCATCTGCTCCAGCAGCAATGCTTGGAAAAGTCCATCTCTATTATTGTAAGTACCAATAACACTGCCCAGTGAGGGGTCAGGGACCCCTTGGGAGTTTTTATACAACCCATAGATTATGAGGGGTGTGGTGACTGTGAAGGCGACAGTCAGAGCTATGCTCAGTAACAGCACGAGGTCTTCAGGACGCTAGTCCTTGGGGCTTTGCCTCTCCTAGCCTCACTGAGGCGTGTGTTCCGTGCGTTCCAGTGCTGCCTTCTGGTCCCTCACATGGACCCTGACAACAATCACCCACAGATGTGCCTACAGGCCAAGCCAGCCTAGGTAAGAGAGATTCCATTCAGGCTTGCCTGCCAGGTGACTCTACGCTGTGGCAGGGGCCACTGAGCCAGACTGATAGATGTCACGCCTGCCTTTCAGCGTTAATAAAGCTTGCCTTTATGGAGCTCATTTTATATGTCAAGCCTGTTGTGAATTCCTTACATATGTTGCAGTGTTTATTGTTTACTACAGTCTTATAAAGTGAGTAGGTGTTGCTATTGTCTCTGTTTTACAGGAGAGAAAACAAAGACTCAAAGAGCTTACATAGGATAGTAGGGATAGAACAGTCAATAACATGCTTGTCTTGGAATATGAATTCAATCCCCAGGTGAAAAAGCCACGCATGGTGGCCTATGTTTGTCATCCCTGTGCTGGAGAGACCGGGACAGATAGACCCCTGAGGCTCATTGGCCAGCTTGGCTTCAGGCCAGTGAGGGATAATGAAAACAGACAGCTCCTGAGAGACAACTCCCAAAGAACAACAACCAAAGTTGTCTCTGGCCTCCAATTATATGCTCAGATATGTACACCTGTACACATACACCACACACACACACACACACACTCACACACACACATACACGCACACACACGCTCACATACACGTACACACCCACACACGTACACACTCACACACATACACTCACACATACACACACACACACAAACTTAAGCAATTTATTCTAGGTAAGCAGTGGGGCTTGATTCAAGCCGAGGCAGTACAATGGAAGGACTATTGGTTTATATTGTCTTTTACCTGGAGAGCATTCCCTTGCCATGGAGAGGAGGCCAGCTCACCAAAGGAGGAAGCACATGACCCAAAAGAAAGAAACGGAATCTTTCCAGAGGTCCTTGTGTTGACTAGTTACTCTGTTCTGTTTTGTTTTGTTTGGCTGAGACCAGTTTTAGTGGCTTACTATCTGCAGAGATGAAAATGCGCCAAGAAAAAGAAATGATGCAAAAGTCATAAGTGTTTTCCTCCGGCAGCCTACGGACCGGCAAACAGACAGAGAAGCAAACAGAAAGTCGTAAGTGTTTTCCTCCGGCAGCCTACGGACCGGCAAACAGAAAGGCGCGAGCACCCGGAGCCTAAGTGGAGTCATACTTAAAGAATGAGGTTGTCCAGAGCGAAGAAGATTCACCAGTGTCAACTAGAGGTGACTGACTGTGTCCTCTGACGCCAGGCACTGAATTTGGCTCCTTTTTTTGGCCATACTGTGATATTTCAAGCAGGACATAGTAATTTGCATACTTCAAAGCTTGGATCTCTCATCTGTGCCTCTTCTGAGCTGACTGCAGGGTACTCACGAGGTCTGAGGTCTCCTGGCTGTCTCCTCTGTGCTGTGACATTGCTTAGGGCTTAATTACAAGTGTGCTCTGCTGTCAGTGCTGCAGTGAGACCACAAGTGAGCTAGGGAAAGCAGTTGTTAAATAGAAAAATGCAATAAAGAAGCCATGAGTGTTTTTCCACTAATCAAATCATATGCCAACTTATATTTTAAGCACCAGCTTATTAAAGAGGGTCCAATTACACCTCCCTTTCAGGTAGTTCTTTAGCCACAATTATTTGTCGTTGGAAGAATTACATTCACAAATAATTACATCTGCACCTGTTTAATTGTAGGCTGAAAACAAAGTGCAAGCAGTTAATTATTTCTCAGATGGCTGATGCTACTTGTCATTAGCTGGTTTGGCACAAATTACACAGGCTGTTCTTTGCCTACAAAGGGCGGTGGCCCAGGTGACACAGTCTAGTAGGTGAGGACTTCCAACTCTGCCTGGGTGTCTTCTCTGAAGTCAGCATTTAGCCTATGCCTACCGCTTTCTCCACATGTCTCAGGGTCTTTCTGTGACTTGCTTCAGTTGGTTCTGATCTCTTTAGGAATCATCTTGTGGGCTTTTAGGATGTATGTTTTCCTTTCCCCAGTTTAAATCCAATTTTTCAAGTCCCTCTCCCAACTTTCCTTACATGGAGTGAGACTGAAGAAAACATTTTATTTATGGGAGAGGTGGACACAAGGCAGGAATAGTTTCTTTCTCCAAGGGGCCGGTATGCTTACATTAGGAACATAAGAGCGAAGTCCTTAATAGAGAGACAAATGGTCTAGGGGGAAGAGGAAGGGCCAAGAAAGCCTGTGTGTAACAGAGGTCATGTCAGAGTTGGGTTTCTGTGATGAGGCCCCCTTGAGCAGGACGAGATTAGGAAAGGGAGTTAAATAGCTCACATCTAGCACATATAAACTCATAGATTCTCACATGTACAGCCAACGGAGATAAAAGGCAGATGACGGAATGAGAGAAAGCTGCAAATTACATCTCTAGTGAGATGTTAATACCCAGAATATAAAGAATGCTTAAAATTCAATAATAACAATAGTAAAACAACCTGATTAAAAGGGGGCAAAGGACTTAACTAAATGTTTTTTTCTGAAGAAAATATGCAAATGACCTATAACGCAAGAAAATATGTAAATGAATGTAAATGAAAAGGATAATGAAATACCACCTGACATGGCAGGGTGGCTGTTGATGGGTGGTCCTGTCTGTGCCAGTGAGGATGCGACTTTATTATTGGTAGAAAGCTAAAATAGCATACCTAGTATGAAAAGTGTAGTGATTCCTCAAATACTTGGAAATAATGATATGCCCAATAACCCTCCTGCTGGGCACAAACCAGAAACACTGAGAACAAGAAGTCGGTCCCATTCCCAAGTATCCATGCTCATGGCAGTACAGCCGCAGAGAAGCAAGATGTACATATAGTGTACACATATAGTATATATACATATATGTACATATAATGTGCATGTAGTGTGTGTACATATGTGAGTTGTCACTCATCCCTAAAAGGAAGTTGTGGCACGTGCCATGACATAGATAAAGTTTGAGAGCACTATCTGAAGTGAAATAACCAGTCATAAATGATACACTATGTACGACCCCAAGATTCTAAATCAAATTCATAAAGAGCAGTCAAATTCGTAAAGACAAAAAAAAATTGATAGACTAATTATTGCTGGGAGTTGAGAGTAGGCAAGAGCCGAGGTTAAGATGAGGGAGTCCTGGAGAGGTTTGTACAAAGACAGGCCTAGTAGGTGAAACATGGTCTTCTGCTTGTACAACACCAGCCTTGTGACGTCGCGTGGGTTTGTGCATCAGATGGGTGTGATATTCCTTCAGTAAACTCTGACTACGCTAACGCTGCCGTGCTGCGCGTCTTCAAAGGCTGCAGATGACAAGCGTCACATTGTGCATATTTGCTACAGTTAGAGAGCAACAGGTCACCACGTCACATCCATTGGGGTGACTGTTATCACAACCAAAAACAAAAGAGAAAAATAACAAGCGTTGGTGTGGACGTAGAGAAACGGAGCTTCACGCACTGCTGGCAGGAGGCAAAATAGTCCATTTGCAATGAAAACAGTTTGCTGTTTCTCAAGAGGTTAAATACAGAATTAGAGTGTGATGTGGCCCCGACATGCACATGCTAGTCAACTGAAGGCAAGGGCTCAAACAAAGGTCATTGGCCAATGTTCACAGCAGCTTTCTTCACAATTAAGTCAAAGTGAAAATGACCCAAATATTTCTAAGCAAATGAATACGTGAAGAAAGAAATAGCATCCTGGAGATGGGTAATATGATGACTTCACACCCCTGTGAATGTATTTAAAGCCCCTGAACAGTAAAAGGGCTTAAAAAATTAAAAAGAATATCACGCATATATGAGTATTATAATATATGCTCATATATATATGAGTATTATTACACACACACACACACACACACACACACACACACACACATATATATATATATATATATATATATATATATATATATATATATATATATATATATATATATATATATATATATTTATATATATATATATATATGATTCTGGCACATTCCACAGCATGGATGAACCTTGGAAACATGCTGGTAAGTAATGTTAACCGACACGAGAGTGCAGACAGTGTGTTATCACCCCACCTATGTGAGGACCCCAGAACACGCAGACACACAGAGATGGAAGAACCGAGGTTCCCAGGACTGGAGCAGGAGTCGAACCAAGAGTTCTTGTTTCTGGGCACAGTGTTTCTGTTTGAGATGGTGGCATTCTAGAGATGGTAGCCGTGATGGTTTCATGCCATTGTGAATGTACTTAATGCTGCTGGGTAGTAAAAGGGATGAGAATAGCAATTGTCATGTGTATTACACCTCAGTAAAAAAGATGAAAGCTTGTGGTTTGTGCAAAAACAGACCACTGGGGCTAAATCCAGTCTCCAGCTTATAGTGGGTACCCTGCTCCATGGTGTGGGGTGACAAGCTCAGCAGAGTGGGCAAGCAAATTTAGATTATCTACCACAATGGGGAGAAAAGTTTGCTCCCAACACATTGGTTGTGTTTAAAAACTGCTTCACCGTAACACATCTCCAAATTCCTCTCTCTCCTCAGTGACTGTCCTGCTTTCTTCCACCCCACGCATGGTTAATACTGAGTCCCAGGTCTTTTTCTTTTGGTTGGGTCTCCTCCCATGCGCCTAGATTCCTGCCCTATTAATCATCCCGTTCTCCCCACCAGTTTCTTTCTCTCAGCAACAAGTCTGCCCGTGCCTCCTTCGACATGAAAGAACTCTCCACCTTGCATCCCCTCCAGCTACTATTTTATATCTCTCACTCCTTACACTGTCAACTTGTTTTTTGGAGGAGTAGTTTCTACTGGAATGACTGAGCTAAACTAGAGAGAGTCGCATCTGCCCACTCACGCTATCTCTGGCTAACTTCCGGTGGATTGAAATCTCCTTTAAAGGTATTTCCTGACTATGGCTCCAGAAAGCTTACACAGGGCCTCTTGGGTCTGACCTTTCTGCTGTGTGGAGGAGTGATACTTGCTGTTCCGTATCACTCTCGGGGTCCTCAAATCCATCCTTGTATACCAAGTGCCCCCCTCTCCCACTTCCCAGCACCGCATTGGTAGTGGAGTCTCTCTGTGCCCTCGTTTTTTTCCAGATTGCTTTCTGAGGTTTCCGTAAGCACCAATGCTACCTGTGCTGTGGTCCGTCCTCGGTAATTTGGCCACTTTCTCGGCATGAATTCACTGTATGCAAGGTTTGTTCTGTTGGCTTCACTAGATGAATTTGTCTGATCCTCAAGACAGTTCCCCGAGGAACGCTTTGAGTGAACATCTCTAGCTGACAGATGAGAAAGCTGAGATACAGAGAGAGAGGCCCAACCAAGTTCTCCTCCTAGAAGGCACTGCTCCGGGATGCAAACATGTAGTTTGTATGTAGAACTCTGCATCTCCGCGTGCCCTGCCTGTCCTTAGCTCATGTATCCTCCGCACGTGGGCTGTCCAGTCAGGCTGCACTGTGGCTAACACCTGGACAAACATCTGAACAGGTGCTTCTATAATGTTTTTGGAGTCGGTCGGCACAAAATACCAGCTGAAGTGCCCCTTTTCCAATGTCCAGAACAGTACACATTAGAAGCAGAGCTACCGCTACTGACCGTTACATATATCCTATCATCCCGCCTTGAATAACAGACCTTTTAAACAATTGGTTCTGATTTAGAATGTTAGAATTCTATGCTGTGGGAGCTGGATCCTGGAGCTATTGGCACTGTGAGGAGTTTGCACAAACAACCTGCGTATTACAGTGTCTTTGGGTCTGGGATTCTCTCTCTCGCTGGATGTCTTTGGCTTGCTGTGTGTAGAGGTCAGAGGAACACGTGTGGCAGTCACGTCTCTCCTTGCACCATCTAAACTCTGGAGTTTAAACTTATCCATTGCCCTAGGTCTAAGATGTTTTTGTGAGCATAACTGTGGGTCCTACATAAACAGATCTCTTTGGTCTCATGGATCCCTGTATCAGGCTACCCTCTAAAGTAGCAGTTTCAAAAATGTCATAAGAATCTTTCTCTTTTTGTTTCTTTCAGTCTGTTAGAGATCAGTGCTTCTTTTAGGAGAATAAAAATAAATTTCTAAAATCAAAACAAGGGCTGGGGATGTAGCTCATCTGTCGAGTGTTTTCCTACCATATACAAGGCTCTGGGTTCAACCCCCAGTTGGTCATGGATAGGACAGTGTGATCCATGTCTTTAATCGCAGGTGGGGACACAAAGGTCAGAAGTTCAACGTTAGAAGTTCCTTGGCTGCACAGGGAATTCTAGGCTAGCCTAGGCTACATAAAACCCTGCTTCAGAAAAAAACTGAAACAAAGACAAAACACACAATATCTATGTTTTTAATCTTTAAATCCATTTATTATTAGACTGTTACATATAAACTCTCATTTCAACAAATATAATTAAGTCAAACATAAAAGAGGAAAAACTTCTGAAGACCCACATGTTATCCCGGGGGTAGGGACACAGCTGGATGATGAACAGAGACATCGTTCTATGGTCACAATTAAACAAAAACTATGCCTGCGCACATTGAAGATCAGATCTACGAATATTTAAGAAATTCCATGTGACAATCATACTTGAGTTGATGATAATGTCACTTGCAAGGAGAACGGCACAAGAGGGAAGTTCTCGTTCTTTGTGGGGAAGCCAGTGATTAGGGAAATAGAAGAGGACATTTCAGATGCTCCTAGGAAACCAAGTTGTCATCTTAACTTTTTATACAGAATATGGGGCAATATTCTTTTCTAATCCCTTACGAAGACCCCGTTCCAACGACTAGCCGTCTAAAATTATCAAGACATTTAAATGACCTTTCTGTTGAGTTTCAGATCCATGAATTTTAGTGTTCCACTGACTTCTTTCTTATGGAGAAAGTGGTTTGTTGATTTACACCTTGGCACCAAACTAGCCCAGCTTGTGCTCCAGTCAGACTGCAGTCCTCCACAGAATTCTAAATGCCAGACATGCTGATGGACAACACAATCCTTTCTGGTTTTATGCAGTTCACAGATGTGTTTATTGGCTATAAGGTTAAGCAGATGAAAGAATTCTGTCTTCCTGCGGCAATCATAATCATATACGTAAGGTTGGCTGCGATCACATCTGTGCCTTCACACAGTTGAAACAATACTTGGATAGTTTTATTTTCTGTGATTTTGTCTCTATATCATTAACCGATCCCCAGATCTGTCTGGGCTGTAGATTCACTAGAAAATGGCACTTGAACTCTTACGCCGTTATAAGCCAACATCTTTGGGATGGTCTTGCGTCCACACCTTGGCAGTGGTGTGAACTCTTGGTCTTCACCACCCTGGGTGCTACCATGTGAGAAGCCTGTAAATCCTCTTTGATGTGAAGCAGTTAACGTCTGCTTCTGTGGGGATTTAACCTAATACTCCTTTTTTTTTTAACTTTTTTATATATTTGGTATGCAAATGGTTCTCATGTTTTGGTGATTTCACTTAATTGCAGAGTAATGTCTGCAGAAATGCACTGACTGATGGCTTATGCATTTTAATTTTTTATGCAAAATTGAAGCAAAATTCATGCAATTTGAGTCAGTACATTTCCAAAGGCAGGCAACACAATATAGGTTTAGCACTGTCTTACTTCTGCTATCCATCGAAGTGGTAACAAAGTTTTTTAATGGCTTTTTCTCATGTTTTGTACGTATCCCATAAGGACAAGTAAGAAGCCACCTGTAGAACTGAGTGCTCCCTAGACAGTCTCATGATGG